AATTCCCTTTCTCCCAACTGGAAATACTGAGTGGGACAGAGAAAAGGGAGGGGAAATAAATTGATTATTGAATGTAATGTTCTCTGTCTCGTCTCAGGAAGAGATTAAATTCACTTAAATTCACTTAAATTTGGGTTTAATAGGAGTCATTCAACACTTGTGTGAGGAAAAAGGGCTTTTTCTTAATAGGAAAATGGGGGAGAAAACCTTTCTGAATTACAATGAGAACTCTCCAGGATAGGTGGGTTGTTTTTTTTTTGCTGTGGAATGGGGAGGTTTGTGAAGAACACAAAGAAAAGAGGGCCAGAGGAAGCACCAGCAATTTCTCCATGTTGTTCTTTGAAGTGGACTCGTTGTCCTTTGGCAAAATGAGAATCTTGAATAAGAAAATGGATTTATTATCGAATTCTTCCTCTCCTGGGGGTGGTGGAGCAGAGCTTTGTCTCGATCCTTTTTGCCTGTCCCCCTTTCAGCTGACATTTCATCCCCAGCACACCAAAGGAAGTTTTCTTCCCCAAAATTTACTTTTAATTCCTTTGGGAACTGCTCCCAAAATCCTGAGCAGGGAAGGATTGCAGCTCCTGGGGGCTGAGCAGAGAGGGACAGTCCCAGGACAGCCCTGGTGTGTCAGCCCCTCACCCTGTGTCCCCCTGCCAGGATTTCCTGAGGCATTCCAGGGGTTTTCCAGCAAGGATAATCCCGGCTGGGAGCAGGATGAATGCACAGAGATGCTCTGGGTGTGGGGAAGGACAGGGACACCCTCAGGATTCCTCACCCTGTCCTTTGTCTCTCTCCAAAGAATGATTTCCTCCTATAAAAAGATGAATTTCCAAATAAGAAAGAGAGGAAATTCCAGCAATAAAAACCTTCAGCAGATGGGGAACAGTGGGAAACACTTCCATGCAGGAGAATCTCCTCAGTCTGGAGCTGCAGCTCCTTCCTGAAGGTAATTAACAAATGTAAATCAAAATAATTCATTAAAGAGGCTCAAACCAACAGCTGCACTGGTGGAAATGCTCATTTCACCCCCTCATGGCTTTTGGGACAACCACTGACTCCCAAATCCATTTTTTTCCCTGGCTCCCACCCCCTCAGCTCCCCTTATCACCCATCTCTTCTCTCACACACGTTTTATTTTGCTCAGCTTTGAGACATTACAGATTCTTGGCCCCATCTGCAAATGGTGCTGCTTTGGACATCCTCGATGAGCTCAGAGGAAAATTCAGCATCATCCAGGCTCTGGGGTTGTTTTGGGGTTTTTGGTCACTTCCAGAGAAATGGAAAAACGGCGTGTGCAGGCTCACAAGGGGCGGGAAGCTCTCCAGAAAGAAGGAGGATGGAGACTGACCCAAACCTCTGGAGTTTTCCAGAAAATCTCAGCCCCAGAAATCTCCCAGGAATGAACTGGCTCTGGAGAGAGCTGGCAGTGCCTTCTCCTGACCCCACCCAGAGCTGAAAAACAGCCTCAAGGGCAAAGCTGCTCTTTTTCCATAATAATTTTCAGGATCATGGGCTGTGGAGAGATCCAGAATCAGCCCTTGCTTCACCTGAACTGCTCTTCCCACCCAAAAACTGCCAGGGCACAGGTTTGGCCTGATCGTGATGGTCCCAAATTCCTTTAATTTGAATTCCAGATGGAAACCACATCAGTCCTGTGCATTTTTGCAATGTTTCCTCCATGAAATTCCAACTCCTTTTGGCCAGCACAGGGTCAGGTTCTTCCCTGAACATCCCCTCGAGCCAGGGCACGTTGGGTGCTCATCAACAGCCAGAGAAATACCCACCAGGAGAGAGAATTCCAAGAGCTCTCCCTAAATTCCAGCTGCCTCCTGGACATCTTTGCAGCCTTGGAGTGCTTTCTGCACAAACCATTCCGGCCTGCAGCACTTCTTCCAGGAAAAGCTCCCCCAATTCCAGGAACCTCAAGGCTCAGGTGGAGAAATGGGAATGACAAAAGCAACTTTTCTGCTGGCAGAGCTGAGCGTCCCGGCCATGAAATGCAGCAAAAGCTGCTGAGAGGGCCGAGATTTCCCAAGGAAATCAAATATCCAGGCATGGCTTGGAGAGGGGAACTTCTGGAAAAGAGGAAAGAACAAGCCTAACCCTGTAGACTCAGCAAAATCTGATCTCACAGCCTGAGCTCATTCCTGGCTCCCAACACAGCGGGAAGAGAACTTGTTCCTGGGGAGCTCCAAGTCCTAAATCTCCTCCTAAAACAGGAGCTTTTTGTCATTTCCAGCTGCAGGTGCCCCTTCCTTTGCTTGCTTTGTTGGGTTTTTTTTTTGGTTTTTTTCCCCAGCTGAGGTTTGTGGTGGAACAGGGAATGAAAAAAGGACAAAATGTGCGAGGCTTTATCCAAGGCTGACCAAGGCTCAGCTTTCTAAGGCTGGATTAGTGGGAATTCATTTAAAACCCCATGGAAAGGGCTGATCCTACAGCTTGGCCTGAGGGTGATCCTCCATTTCAGCCCATGAGGGAGAAGCCCCACAAAGCAGGTTTTAGATATTTTTGATGTCCAAATCCACTGGAACGACGTCCCTTGGTTGTTTCAGCCTTTTGGCCTCCTCAGGCGAGGAGGTGGATGCAGCTTTTGGCTGGATTTGGGTTAAATGCCAGGAGAAGAGCTCAGGGTCGCTTTGGGATCACAGCCTGGGCTCACACCAATCCTTCAGGCTGCTCCTGTGCTCCAGCATTTGGCTTCTGACTTCCAGACAGAGGAGTGAAAACCCCATCTAGGGTTTGAACACCTTCCTCCCCTCCATTTCCTTGGAATCCTCATGCTCACAGAAAATTCCGGGGTTTTCACCCACCTTTTTTGGGGGTTATCCTGATTTGGTTTTCCACCATGACCTTCCACACTTTGGCCTTTCCATTTTGCTGCAGTTCCTCCCCACCCTGGCTGCTGGCCCCAGGCTCTGCTTGCCCAAACTTGAACATTATTTTTCAGCTGAAATGACATCATGGCTGAAGTGCTGTTTAAAATTACTGCTCTCCAGACCTCCCTCACATCCCCTTTTGCAATCCCCTCTTCCAGCAAAGCCCTGCTCTCATCTGGAGCCAGGAAGGGTGGCCTAAAACTGGGATGTCTTGTCCACATCCATTCCAGGACTTTTGCTCCGTCCTCATCCTATAGCCAAAAATAAAAAAATTCCAATTGAACATTTCAATTTTTTAATAACACTTGCTAACAACTCCATAAAAATAATTCTGTGTTCTGGGCCCTCTCCACATGACATCAGGCTCATGGATTTCTGGGCCAGGCTCCCGAGGCCGTTTTAAAACTTCTGTTTGCTCATAAATCAAGGCCAGCGGTGCCGTTTTTAGCAAAAACAGCCCCAGTTCAGAGTTTCCAGCCTCTTCCATGGGTTTGCTGTGCTGCCACAGGCCCTGCTCAGGATCCAGCAATTCCACCAGGCTCCACTTCCATCACAGCACCTGTGGCAGCCTCTGGAATGTGAATCCCAGCTCTGCTGGTCACCCTGCAGGGAGCAGCATGGAAAAGGTCCTTATCTCTGAATTTCCACGGCTCTTCCCAGTGATTATTCCCTGTCCAGCTGGCTGCCCTTCCCGGTGGGAACTCTGCCTCCTCACACAGCCCCTGGAGCAGCCAGGAGGCTCTGGTGGCTCTGGAGGAGGCTGGGCTGGGGCCAGGGAGATGCTGAGGTGTTTCCATCACGATCCTCGCCCGGCCTGTGCCGCCACATTTCCCTTCACAGAGAAAAGCAAGGCACAGTTCTTCCCAAGAATATTTCTGGGTTTCACATTCTCCAATTCTTATTGTTTGCTGTGCCTGTGTTTGTGCCAGAGCAGAATGCAGTGTGGAGGTTGTTCACCCACAGTGAGGGTGTTTTGGTTCCTTGGCCTGTCAGGATACAGTGTCATAAATTAATTAATTAGCCTTCTGCTAAGATGCAGTCAGATGCATCATTCTCTCCCCTGTGAATTCCACAGGCTGAGGTGGGGACAGGAGCCAGCAGCCCCAGGCTGGGGGAGGATCCCTCCCTTTCCCTTGGAAAAAGGGAACAGGGATCATCCCTGGCACAGGGAGCAGCTGGAAGAGTCCTGAGCACGGGGGATGAGGGGAAGCCTTCCCAGCACGTAGGGGCAGAGTTTAAGGGTCCCTCTGTTTGGGGTGTTGGTGCCATGGTGGGATGGGAATGTTCCCCTCTGGGGATGTGGGACAGGCTGGGAGCCCACAGCCCCCTTGATCTTGTCCCAGGCTGTTTGATGGCATTCCTGGGTTCATTTCCAAGGAACTCCTGATTTCTGGGAAGGCCTCACAAAACTACACTGGGACCATTCATGGCCTGTGAGGGCAGCCCTGGCTGGATTCCTCCTGAAATCCACAGAATTCTGCTAGGAAAACATTCCTTCCCCTTCCTAAAACCATCCCCCCAGACACAAACACAGCTCCTTGGAAGGCCTTCCACGATGGCAAAACAACTGCAACATCCAACACTTCTGGGTTCCCTCCATTCTGTTTGGGTTTTATTCAGCAAAAAAATGAAAAAGAAACTTAAACTTGATGAAATATCACCAGCTTTTCCTGCAGCTGTGGAAGCATAAATGACTTGACACTCCTTGTTTTCCAAACTTGGAGTATTTGCAAGGTAAAGGTAAGGCCAAGCTGGGCAAATTTAACATCAAAAGGGACTGAAAAGGAAAATTCTTCAGGGATGGAGGCCAGAAAATGAAATTTTCCTGTTTCAGGCCGTTTTTGGGTGAGGGTGTTTGGTCCTGGAGCCCTCCTGGAAGTCCTGGTGTGGCCAAACACACCTTGGACACGCTGGGACACTCAGCCACACCCCAATTATTGATTCCTTGCATTATTTCATCATTAAGAGCCAAATTAACATTTCTCCACAGCAGGAAAGAAGGATTTCCTTTGGAGGATTTCTTTTCTATGCAGAGAATGTAAATATGTTATTCCCTTACACCAAAAGCCAGGGTGGGACTCCAAAATTCCTGATTTTGAAGTGATTTTTTTTTCCTCTTTGAAGACACAAACCCTGAACCTTCTGCCTTGCCCCAAAACCAAAAACCTGCATCAGCACAAAATCTGAGGAGAAACCAAAACCTGCACAAATTCCCAGGGGATAACCTGGAATTCCCCCCTTTTCCTCTCTTTCTGGGGAGGATCAGCAGCCCCACACACACCCCAGCCCTGTGGGAAGTCTGCATTTTCCATTACTCCACAATCCCCTCCATCTGCCCAGGAAAGCTGCCAGCAATCCCAACAAACAGGGACATTTTGGAGCCCATCAAGAGCTCCACGTTTTGTTTTTAAGCTCAGCTCCAACAACATCTGCTTTGGAGAAATCCTTTTTTTTTTTTTAATTTTATATTTTTTTTCCCAAGAGCTGTCGATGCCCCTTTGGAAATTGAGGATTTTGAACAGCTCTGCTCCTTCCAGAGGCAGCTTTAACAGGGAACAGATCCTCCCAAAGATCTCCTTGAATAAATTCAGGAATTCCAGCAGTTTTTCCTTGGATTTTAGGAACCTCTTGGCTTTTTCTGAGTGAGTTTTAACTTCACATGGTGATTCTGAACCTACAAAAGGCACGAGTTCTGTCCATAAAAAGCTTTTTGCTCTGTATTAATTCCTGGAATCCTGTCCTGTTGTCTCAGCTCTTTTCAAGGAAAGGGATTTTTAACACAATTTTTGGAGGGAAGGATGTCAAGTTTCCTGCTGAAAATCAGTATTTTTAACTCTTATTTTAATATTCAACCCCAATTTATCAGAATTTATATATTTATTTATTTTCAGTATCCATTTGGAGCTGGTTTAGAGCACCAAGTTTCATTTCCTTTTCATCTCCTGCTGTTATCTTTTATTATTTGTTATCTTCTATTATTTGCTATCTTTTAATGTCACTCACCATAATTTCTGAGAACTTTCTTCATTCAAAACCCCTGGATCTTGGCCAAAATCTTCTCCTCCTTTTCCTTCAGGGAGTCACATCCCCATGACTTGTTCTGGGAATATTTATCCCCAATTAAACCTGCAGGTAAATCAAAATTAATCAGATTTATCACAATTTGCTGAGGGATAAAAGCAAAAACAATAATGAAGAAAAATCCTTTTCTGTGAATTTTCTCCACTGAAATCAGAGCTGGATTTGCATTTCCTGTTGCACTAAAATTTCTGGCAAATTAAAGAAATTCTTGTATTTATTTAAAAACAGTTTTTGGGGATGTTTTTAGCTTGTGAAAACATTCTGGGCATTAAAGGGCTTGGTAAAAATACAAAAATAAATATATGAAATTCTCAAAATAAATATTAAATTAGGAATATAGAACAGTATAAAACATAAATATAAAAAAACAGAAACACAATAGGATATAATAGAAATATAAAATATAAATAGTTCTATAAATACAAAAATATATAAATATATGAAAATGACCCCTCAGTGTCCCAGCACTCAGTGGACCTTTCAATTGATGTTAAAATGTTGTCACAGAAATGTAAGACTGAAGTCCATAAAGTTATAATTTTTTTAAAAAAATAAGGATTTTTTTTTCCTCCCATTTTCCTTTTTCTCAGCATTTTTACCCCAATCCCAGCCTGCCCAGCCAGGGCTTTGCTGACATTAAGGATGAATCAACTGCAGATCCCTAAAAATCCACTCTGCATTAATTCCAATCCAGGGCATTTCAGGACTGGGATTTTTAATTCCACAAGAGCCCAAGAAATATTCAATATTTACTTCAGGGGGTTTTATGGGGCCTTTGTTCCATGCAGGAATTTTATGGGATCTGGGATTTCCTGGCATTTGCATCATCAGCTGGTAATTAGTGAAAATTCCCTGGGAATAAACAGAAATACCTCCCCAAGCTCCATAAACAAAAATTCACTGGGAATAAACAAAAATACCTCCCCAAACCCACAAAATCCTGTGGGATTTGTTGCTCCAGGAGCTCAGGATGGAAAAAAAAATCCCAGCCAGCCCAACCTCTCCCTGCCCTGACATTCTAAAGGGAAAAAGCTGAGGGAAAATGAGGAAAATCTGAAAAAAAAAAAAAAAACCCAAATATTTTAACTATTCACATTTTTTAGCCATTATCTGTGAAGATTTTTTAGGATTTTATGGGATGAATTTAGGATTTCAGGGATTTTTTAAAGATTTTAGGGGAGCTGTAGGAATGCTGTGATCCCAGAAATTCCCAGCCAAAAGGGAAATGTGTTGCTATGATCCCACCTCGAGCTGTTCCTTGGGTTTTTCCTTTCCCAGCTCCTTTTGCTTTCCTTCTGTGTCCCTCTCGTGGTAACTCAGGAGAAATGGCCCAGCTGCGCTGGAAAAATTAATTCCTAATTTTTTTTTTTTCCCTATGGATTTAACCCTAAAAAAAGAGGAATTTTGTCAGTGTAGAAAATATTTCTATTAAAAAAAAAAACAACAGATTTTTTTTGTTGTTGTTCTTTCATTTATTGGTATTCAGGTGTGGTGAAATAAGTAAAATTTTAAGGCATTTTCATTTAGGATGAGTTTTAAAGAAAAAGGAAAGAAAAAGGCAATAAACAGAGAGAGAAAATGAAGAAAAATGAGGATTTTGGATGAAATTCTTTATTATGAAAGGCACTGGAAGAAATTGGTGTGGATTTCCCATCCCTGGAAGTGCCTGAGGACAGCTTGGAACAAGCTGGGATAGTGGGATGGATGGGATTTAAGGTCCTTCCACCCCAACCCACCCTGGAATTCTGTGATTCTTAAACCCCCTGAGCATTAAATAAAAAGATATGACCAGAGCAGGGGGGAAATAAAGTGATTAATTTGCTTCATTTATTGTCCTTAACGAACACCCTGGGTGCATTTATCGCTCTGGGTGGGAGCTTCCCTCGAGCTCCTCCCTCCCCACCTGATCCCTGCTCCACCCTCACCTCCCCCTGAGCCGATTTTTACCCATGCCAGGATAAAAATATCCCATTTTTCCCCCCGTTTTGGCCAGCCTGGGCTCCATTGGCTGTGCCCCCCTCACGTCACGGAGCCATCCCAGCCTTATCTCCATGGCTGGGAATTCCTGGAGACCAATCCCACGGCAGCCCCGAGTGGAGGAGGATGCCAGCAAATCCCAGAGCTGCTGGGGCTGCTTTGGCATTCAAATCAGGTTCAAGGAAAGGCCTCTCCTCCTTGCCAGGGCTGGGATTTCTCCCTCTAGCTGCTCGGCTTTGTCACTCCTCAGCAGCACCTGGGGTTTATCACCCGCACGTTTGCAGCAGAAAATAGCTCTGAAAATATTAATTCACTCACGTTTTCTTCTCTCCTGCTTGTGATCTGCAGGGGAACGGGGAGCTCAGCGCCGTTGGCAGGGAGCCGTGCCAGTTTTTGCCTGGTTAAATTCCACACCGGCTGCACAGCAGGCAAAGCCCAGTGAGTCACAGCCTCTCCTCTGCAGCAGCCCGGCTTTGAGGGAGAAAACTCACACAAAACACCAAAAAAACCCCACAGCCTGGGAGCTCTGCAGCCTGCCTCTGCATCCATTTCATCCTTAAAAGCTTCCAAGTGGCTCCCAGAGCTTCCAAGCGTTGCGCTGGAGCAGAACGATCCCGAAATCCACGTGTACAAAGCGAATCCCGAGTTTGCTTTCCCAGCCGCTCCTGCAGCTCCACGCAGGCCGCGCTGGGGGCTCCGCAGCTTCAGCACCTCAGACAGCAGCACCAAAGCGTCCCCAAGGCCACCGTGAGGGGACAAACCCACCGCTGCTGGCACACCAGGGGCTTTTCCACACCCTTATTCCCCGAGCTGTGGCAGGGACAGCGAGAGGAACCCGGCGGAGCAGCAGAACTTTGATCCCTTTCCAAGACTTTTGAGGATTCTGTCAAGCAGCCAAAGGTTTGGAGTGTGTTGTGTTTATTAATAAATAAAAAGTGTTTGCAGCAAGCAGCCACCTGGCTTTGTAGTATTTTTTTTTTTTCCCTCCCCTCTGGTTCCACTTTCATCCTCAAATGTTATTTCAAGCTTTCTCCCCGTTGCTCTTTGCTCTGAACAGTTGATTCTACTTAAAAACAAGATGAATTCAGTCTCTCTGCAGAAGTGGTGAGTCCTGTGTTCTCTGGATTTGTTTTTTCCCCTCCTTTTGCTGCACAATATTCCCAGGATAAGGATGTTTTCCAGCCTCCATCTTTTCAGCCCAGCAGCTGCAGGTCTGGAACATGTTGATTCAGGCCAGGCTTTATCCTACACCAAAAGCAAGAATATAAAATCCAAGTTATTTATAAGAGAAGACACATATTTGCATCTTAATGCGGAAAGGAAGAGGGACTGAATATGCAGCCTTTCCCAACACACAGAAGTTTTCTCTTAAAAGGGATTTATTGTGTGCTGATCGAATGGAATGAGGGTAAATCCAAAGTTTTTTTGTATTTAAAGGTAGAAATGAGGTGCTCCCTTCTCTGACCTCAGAGAACCCCCCAGAAATCCAGCCCAGAGCAGCTCAGCTTTCACTCGGGGCTGGGGGTATTGCAGGTGTGACAGGAATTACAGCTGGGGCAGGAATTCCTGGAATTGCCCATCCTTAATTCCCACCTGAGCCCCAACAGGGGTTCAGGTCCAACAGGAACAGGCAGAGCTGGCAGCTCACGGTGCCCACAGGGGACTAAGTGCCCACGAGGGTCCAGTGCCACCACATCCCCTCAGAGTGACCTGTCCACCACCTCAGCCCCTCATGAGGGTCCACTGCCACCTCAGAGTGACCTGTCCAGGACTTCAGCCCTTCCAGCCCCTCACAAGTGCCCAGTGCCACCACATCCCCTCAGAGTGACCTCTCAGCCCCTCACAAATGTCCAGTGCCACCACATTCACACCAGTGACCTGTCCAACGCCTCAGCCCCTCACGAGGGTCCAGTGGCACCGCATCCCCCTCAGAGTGACCTGTCCAGGCCCTCCATCCCCTCGTAAGTGCCCACTGCCACCACATCTCCCTCAGAGTGACCTCCCCACACCTCAGCCCCCCAAAAGAGCCCAGTGTCACCACATCCATCTCAGTGACCTCGCCACCACCTCAACCCCCCTCAGCCCCCGCCCCGCATCTCGATGTCCCATTGGCTGCCACAGCCGTCACTCAGAGCCAGGCACCGCCCGCACGTAATCGCAAGAACCCATTGGCTACCAGGGCCGTCACTCAGAGCTAAGCCCCACCCATCAACGTGCGCGATGGTGGGTGGAGGGCGAACTCTCGCCCTCATTGGCTGCTACGCCTGTCACTCAGAATTAGACCGCACCCCCCCGCCAGGCGGCTCTGGACACCCCCAGCCCCCTCTTCACCCTTATCTCGATGGTCCATTGGCCGCCACACCCATCACTCAGCGCCAAACCCCGCCCTTTCCTTCCGCGTGCCCTCGGCGGGCGGGGCGCCCACTCCCCCCTCCCTCCCCCTCACCTCAAGAACCTATTGGCTGCCGCACCCGTCACTCAGAGACAAGCCCCGCCCTTCCCCGTGAGGGCTGCGGGGCGGGCAGCGCGCCTCCTGGCGGCCGCGCCGTGCCCCCGTACGTGCTGCGTGTGCGTCACCCCCGCCCCCCCC